ATGCCCGGGTTTCAAGGAACTCATGAGACACAGGAAGAATAGGACAAACTCTGCCTTCCTGCTATCTCGGAACTAATGGTTCACTGCTCATTTTAATTAACAGGATCAATGTGGCCTAGTCACTGATTTATAATGCCCTAAAGAGAAAAAAATAATTTTATTCCCATTTATTGGTGGAAACACTAAGGTAGAGAAGGACTGATTGAAGTGTTCATTGACACATAGGTAGTAAGTAAGAAAACCAGACTGAACTAGTAGCAGCATGGCTTCAGAGATCATTGCCTAACCATTGGAGCACACTGCCTTTCAGGTGAAATCTGGGGCATCTTTTTACCTGCCTACAAAGGCTCTGTGCACTTGTCCGATTCTAGTTCAACTGATGTTTATGATCAACTGTATTTTAGGTACTCATACTAGCTGATTTCACAGAGGCTTTCATTCAATTTCAACACCTCCGTCAAGCAGATATCATCTCTGTTGTAGAGATGAGTAAATCGATAGGTAGATGTGAAATCCCCTGCTTGGGTTTATACAATTACTGAGGAGTAGCTTTGGAATGGAAAACCCAGATCTTAGAGGCTGGAGAGATGGCTCAGAGGCTAAGAGCACTTGCTCTTGCAGAAGACACAGGTTCAGTTCCCAGCACCCACATGGCAGCTCACAACCATTTATAGCTACAGTTCCGGGGGTCTGACATCTTCTGACATCAGTAGACACCAGGCATGCATGTGGTGCACATACCTACACATAAGCAAAACACTCAACACACATACAAATTAAATAAATACATCTAAACTGTCTTAAACCCATATCATCTGTAAGTCATGTGCTTTCAATAGCCTTGTAAATTATATTTCTCTGTAAACTGTCAGCCAGTGACTATTGAGACTTAAACGTTGTGCTAATGTGAGTTTCAGATTTCATCATTTTCCCATAGATCCCTCTACCCATTAGCAGTCACTGCCCATCCCATTCTCCCCCAGTTTCTGGCAGCTAGTCTAATCTGTGTTCCTATGGATTCCTCTACCCTCAGTATTTCACATAAATGGGAACAACATGTATCCTTTCATGTGTGTCTTCTTTAACATGGCATAATGTTTCCATTTCCAGGGACCATTGGATGATAGTGTATTCCTCTCTATAGCCGGATACTATTACATTCCAATATATATATCTTCATAAATTGATAGACATGTGGATTGTTCCACTTGGGACTTATTAGGAAATAGTCTTGTATGAAAACTCAGACACAAGTCTTTGTCTGAACATGTTTTCAGTCTTCTTCAGTTTAGGCCTAAGAGTGGAACTGATGGGTGAGAACTCCATGTTGGACTTTCTGAGGAGTGACCCAACTTTTCCCCCACAAACCCCACATCATTTTCACATTTCACACAGCAGTGAGTGCTCACATTTCTCCAGACTCTCTGTTGAACTTGTTTCTTTCCTTTCTTGTTGGCATTGTGGTGCAGAGAAGTGTGTGGCCTGCCTCGCTGACTGTCCTGGATAATTTTATGTCAACTTGACACAAACTAGAGTCATCTGAAAGGAGGGAATCTCAATTGAGAAAATGCCCCCATAAGATCAGGCTGTAGGCAAGCTTGTGGCACATTTTCTTAGTGATTCATGAGGGAGGGCTCATCCCATTGTGGGTGGGGTCATCCCTGGGCTGGGTGGTCATAGCTCTAAATGAAAGGATGCTGAACAAGCTTTGAGGAACAAGCCAGTAAGCAGCACTGCTCCATAGCCTGCGCCTCTGGTTTGACTCCAGGTTCCTGCCCTATTTGAGTTCCTGTCCCGATTTTCTTCAGTGAGTTGGAATCATATGACAAATAGACCTTCTTCTTCCAAAGTTGCTTTGGGTGTAGTTTTTCATCACAGCAATAGAAACCCTAACTAGGACACTGACCATTCTTTCATAGGCCTATGACCATTAGTATGTGCTAAGGAATGTCTACTCAAGTCACCTCCCCACTTTTTAAAGTGGGTTTTTGTGTGTGTGTATCTTGGAATCTAAGATTATTATGAATCTTGGAACCCAAACCTATGCGAGACTGACAATTTGGAATATTTTTCTCCCATTCTGTGGCTTGTATTCATTGTCCTAAATGTTCTAAATGTAGATGACATCCATTTCTTTTATTTGATTTCTTGTGCTTTTGGTTTCATACTCAAGAAATCTTGCCCATTTAAAGGTCAGAAAATGTGACAGATAAAGATCATTTTTAAACTTCTCCCATGAGATGCATTTTGCAGCTTAAAGTGAGCCAGCCCTCCATGTAATGCTGGAAAGATGGGCTTATTTTTGACTAGAGGATAGAACATGATGTTAAAGAATTCATAAATTATGCCCCAAATTAATAATTTACATGCTGTGTTTATTACAGGACATTAAATAAATCCTGTCTATTATCTTAATAACTACAATTGTTATGAGATTTAAGTCAATGTTCTGAATAAACTAATAGAAAATAATTTTGGAATTCACACTAAGGAGAAAAACATTCAAAGACATTACCATGTAACTTAGCTGAGATGGCTTCCCTATTCTTGTTCAGCTAACAAACTAAAGAATCGCACTTCTACCACAGACAGAAGAGCAAAGTCTTACAAAGCATGGGAGAAAAGAAATCATTTTACAAGCATATCATTTATGTTAATGTACACTAACGAGTGTTTATCTATTGTTAGACCCTGATATATGAGTTGCCTCATCACAGAACAGGTAAGTAATAGGGACTTTCATGGCTGTGTGCCTACAAAGCCCACTCTGTCTCCATTAGAGTCCACTGGGCACCTCAAGGGAGAATTCCAAGTGTGTAGTCATGATTGTATTCCTAATGCAATTCTAAGTGTGCACTCAGGATTGTATATATAGTGCAACTAACCTATACTGGGCACGGTTTAACTCAGTCATTCAAGATTCACAGAGTTGATGGCATTTCCAGCAGATTGACACACAAGCATCCTGGGAACCCTTTTCTAAAGTGTATCAACTAGCCTAAGGGGTAGTACACCTGGCATGTGGCCTCAAGCAATGTGTCCTTATTGTGGCACAGTGTACATGAGTCTTCAGATGCTAGGGATCCATCCCACCTGTGGCTATTAGCTCCCCAGTAGTCACAGGAATTGTGAACGAGAGGTAAGCACAGCCACACACTTGGACACATACCATTGATGGTTATCATGAGTGATGACTTAAGATTATAGCAATGGAAAGACAGACAAAACCCAGAATTTTCAGAAGTGATTTAAATGGACATTAAACATCAAAAAGTTAAAATTAGAACAGTAGAGGATAATTTTCATTTATTAGCTTGGACAAAGTGAGATGCCGGTGAAGCTATGAGTGACGGCATTCATGGACCATTGGCAGGAGTGGAAATGAGTGTCAATTTCTGTCAACTGTCAAAGGTGTTAAATGTATATTTTCTTTTGATTTAGACCTTCTGTGTCTAGTATTATTGCATACATGCATGCTTACAACCTTTGAAATAGAGCTGGAGAGATCTCTCTTCAATTACACTTTACTAACTGAATAAATTGAAACCCAGTAAGATTCCCTCTTTTAAAAACAACACACGAGCATTACAAGTGCATGATGATTGCCTCTGAGACACAGAGATGAGGGCAGAGGAACACAATTCACTTCTCTCTGTATTGCTGCAACACCTAGTATTTTTAAAATCATCTGTATCACCCTGAACTGGACACGAACAAGTGAAGTGCTTCAGCTGGGCATCAACAGTGTTGATACTTTTTGTAAAGTAGCCATGTGTAGCAGATGTTTTTCCCTGAGGAAAGCCACTTTCAGTACAACCCAAACGCATGAACTCAGGCACACTTCACAGTAAGAAGTCAAGGAAGACTAGGTACGAGATTATTCTTAACAGAGTGTGGTTTATAATTGTGAACAACTAATGATAGATTTTGAACAATGACACAAGTTTAAGTGCTTAGAGCAAATGCATGCGAGAGGAGGGGCCTTGTTTTGTGGACATGTAAGATCTCTTCCCACGAGTCCCTGAGCAATGTAGCCACTATATTACAACTAACAAGAGTTTCCATCTAAGCAGAATCCTGAGCATTCAGCTTTCTGGGGGTGGGACTCACATTTAGGGACCATAAACAATAAGTTACACTTAGAATAGCTCCTTTGTCCCTGACATTGCTATGCCCTTCTACGGACAGAAAGGCATTATTTAAAACTGAGTGAGTCAAGCCTGGATTCTCCCGTTCCACTGTCACACGCTCCCATTTCCTCACCTCCAAGGGCACTCTAGTAGCACACTGACCCGTGTTCCTCTTGGGCTGACACAGGCTGCAGCATCGCTGCGAGGGGCCAAGAGCATTCACAGCCCTGATGTCCGTACAAATGGGAAAGCACTCATATACCAACCTGACGTGATGCTATTCTGAAAGTGGGGAACATTAAAGGATGAGCCCCATTTCTTCTTCTCCTCCTCTTCTTCCTCCTCCTCCCCTTTTTTTTTTTTTTTTTTTTTTTTTTTTTTTTTAAAGACAAGGTTTCATTAGTAGCTCTGACTGGCCTGGGACTAGCTATGTAGACCAGATTGGCGTGAAATTCACAGAGATCCACCTGTTTCTCCCTCCCAAATGCTACTCTACCCAACTTCTATCTATTTATCTATCTATCTATCTATCTATCTATCTATCTATCTATCTACCTATCTTTCTAGCTATGGTTCGGCAGAACTCTACCTTGTTTTTAAGGACATTATAAGTGTCTGTATTTTATTAAATTTTATTATACATGACAACCATTAGGCCATGCCTGTTACAAAGTAAGGTTCATGTAATTCTTCTACCCTGGCAGTCACACATGTTTTATTAAAATAATAATTGTAAAAGCCCCCAACATTATGAAACAGCACTGTCTGACTTTTTATTGATAACATCATGGTATCAACTGTGTAAATTCTTCACATCATTTACAGTAATCAATAGGATCACTTCCTAAATTTAGTAAAGACACAAGTAGGTACTTTTGCAGACAAGAAAACTTTTTTATTTTAAACCACAAATAGTTAGCAGGAGGCCACAACTATCCATATTTCATTAAAATCACATAAAACCTAGGCACAAAAGCACCACTGATTATTGCTCTAGAAAAGTTGCATGAAAAATTCAAATACGCACAGTTAAAACACCACGGTATGCATAGGACTAAACTTTTAAAGCGAGGGCATGGAATGCTGAATCCATTTTACACGCAGCTTTCGATATTAAATTGGAATTTATTTTACTTGAGGATGATGGAAATTTCCAAAAAACATCACCATAAGAGGATAAAATGTCCATCTTTATATATATATTTATGCCAACTAATAGAGTCCTAAAAAATTAGCATTTACAAAATACGTGGTAAAAATAGCCTTTAAAAGTTGTCCCAAGAGGTACGTGAAATCAACCCCAGTTTTCCACGACAATTCATTCTCCCTCGTTATCTACAGACTCAGTTTTCGGTGCCTGTGAATGAAAAAGAAAGGGAGAAAACAATATGTAGTCAGCACTAAAAGGAGTTAACCACAGGAAAGCCCACCCACCAGGAAACACACTTTTGAGCATTTGGCCTCTTGTTTTCCTTCCAGGTCTACTTCGAAACACACTTCAACTCTGGGTGGAAAACAGACAAGGCAGGAATGCATCGCGCCAACACGCTGCTGCATTCATTGCTTTCTGCTATTTAAACAACACAGAAGCCTTACCTGCGGGCTCCCGTGTACATAATAAAGAAACAGCAAGCTACTACCTGATTCTAGTCACTGCAAACATGCAGAGTGTCTACTGTACCCTTAACTCTCACTGTTTCAATCTGCCCCTTTACTGACAGTGTGCTGGGTGGGGGGCTTCTGCAGGCTGAGACATTAACAGTTGAACGAGAGATGTGGATCTGCAATAACATTACAGGTGATAAAGAGAGACATTATGAGCGTGCTATCCAGAGCCTTAAGGACAGAGCTATTTCTCTGACAACACTGATTTGGTCAGTGGGAGGTGGTCGCGGAAAGTACCTCTTCAGTTTTAGTGTCACCATTTGCAGATGGGGCAGTACCTTCCTTTCCAGCTTCCTGCTTTTCTTCCTTCTTCCCCTTAACACCTCTGCTAATCTTCGTCCCGGGGTCTTTCTGATGGATCGAAGCACAGGGAAACAGAACAAGTTAGGTGCAGAGTGACAGTAGAAGCCCCCAGCCAGATACAGTGGCAGCTGCCATGGTGGCCTTAGGCAAAAGTGGGGACGCAACTTTGCCGCTTTAATTTGCCGCTTTACCGAACTACACTGTAGCCATAAAACTGTTAATGGGCTGCTTGCTGAGCCCACCAGTACTTCCGTTTCTGTGGGAAAGTGGTGAGCGGCCCAGGGTTCACTCTTGGGACATTTCTACTATGAGTGGTTCTGCTGTGGAAGAGGGCAGCCAGGACCTGGTGGAAGGGGAAAAGCCTGGGGAAAAACCCACCCACCAGGGGCTGCTATTCCTGTTGTTCCCCAATGTGACATGGGGAGCCACATTTTACATAAAGACCCAGAGAAAGAAATGTTGCGATTTTTCTGACTGAGCCACAGTGCTGAGTTCTTTGGAAATCATATTCACCACCACAAACAGTTTGAGTCAGTGTTTGTGCTTTGAGGAATACAGCACAGGAGAATCACCATGGCTAAGTTCATCAGCATTAATGCACTGTAGTTTTCCTCTCCTGGCAAACAGGGCATTCGTATCTATTTCAATAGAGTAGACTGAACTGAGCGTGACTAAGTAAAATGCCCAGTACAGGTCTCACACAGTGTCAGCCTAGTGTTCACTACTTGCTACAGGAAATGCTCATATTTTTATTGCTAGTCACGGGAACGGCCATCTACTATAGGCTCTGAGCCCCTCGCTGACCTCTGGTGCTGGTGGCAGCTGTGGGGTCCAGGGCCAGGTCTGACGCCACCAGACCACCATGTGACTGAGAGTGTGTTCTGAGTCAGCTGGCAGGCCCCTCCTCACACGAGGCTGCCCACAGCAACTTTCTGTGCTTCCTGTACTGCACTGACCAAATGGAAAACACATGGCTGCTAACGCACAAAACCGCGCTTCGTGTTGGGGATGACTTTCTGGTCTGTACATTTTCGCCTGACTTATTAAACAGGATCTCTCCTCAGATGACTTTCAGGCATGGAATTATAATGAATAAAATACTCATTGCTTAGAAAGCCAAGGGGGGCGGGGGGGAGAGGGGAATGCCTCTTACCTTAGCAGATGTTTTTCTTGGTTTAGGCTCGGGTTTTGGTGGAACAGGTTTCTGCAGAAGTAATTTAAATCATACAAATACTGAAACTGACAACATTAGCACCAAGAAGAAGACAAACAGGCTGAAAAGACAGTCACTGGTTCTGACTGTGGCTCTGTGCATTTTGATCTGGTCCTTTCAGTATCAGGCACTATCTCTATCCTGGGTTTGCAAGTGATGGGCAGATAAGAAGGAGACTAACTCATTAGGCTCTGGTCCAGTAGGGCTCTCCGGGGCAGGGTTAAGTTTCTCTTTCTGATATCTCTGTACTTCTTTTTTTTTTTCTCCCCACAACACCACAGCAAGAGGAGTGACTCCACCGACCCTTGGCTAAACGGCTTGATGAATTCACTCTTAGAGGCCTTCCCAACAGATTAGAAATTCCAGCACACCACGGGCAAAGTGCACTATCCATGGGTCACCAAGGCTGAGGCCTGAGACGTTCTACAAAGCCACATCCATCCCCCTCCCCCTGACACAGATTCGGGTTCTGTAGCCAAGCCACTTCCTGTTTCCCTGTTTCATGCTCTCCACTGTCAGCTTTAGGGACGATGCTAACACCAAGGCACTGGGTCCTTTTGTCTCTGAAGCTTTTTATTAAGCATATAACTACGGCAACCTGTCTGGCTATTAAAAGTTAAGATTTTTTTCCCTGTGGGTATTTTGGGTCAAATATTTCTCTAATAAAAGTTTAAAATGTGTACATCTCTCTGAGCGCTAAATAAATGTTTTAAAAATAGAAAATACTATCCAGGGTGCCCCTGTGAAGAAAATGTGTGTTTCCCTCCAACATCTGCAAAAGATCTGAAGTTCACACTGAATACAGCCTTTATGTGTAAAATTTAATTAGAGACATTCAGTTCCAAAAGACCAGCTGTTGGAAGGGAAAAAAAAAAAAAAAAAAAAAAAAAAAAAAAAAAAAGAAAGAAAGAAAGAAAGAAAAAGCTAGACGTGGTGACCCACTCCAGTAACCCAGCACTCAGGACACTGAGGCAGGAGACGCTGTCAGCTTGAGGCCAGTCTCCACTTTAGAGTGAGACATAGTCTCAAAGATCCAAACAGGAGGGCCAGTGAGATGGCTCATTGGTAAAGGGGCTTGCTGCCCAACCTGATAACCTGTGTTCTAACCCTGAGGCACACAGGGTGGAAAGGGAGAACCGATTCCTGCAAGTTAACCTCTGCCTCCCCAGCACACAAGTAAACACATGTAATCATAACATTCTTCTTTTAAAAGGAGAAAAATGTGACCTTTAAAATAAAATTACAAAAGAAAGAAAGGCAGAAAAGTTTATACTTGTGTTCCTAACCCATCTGAACCTTCAGTCTGCTCCCCAAACATGGCCTCGTGGCTCCCAAGTCTTAACTTCAAAATTTGTTACTGTAAGTTTTCACAGATTAGTGTGTGTGTGTGTGTGTGTGTGTGTATCTTCTTGATTTTTTTTTTTTAGCCAACTGTTTACACTTTTATTACTTTTTTTATGAGACAAACCTTTCATCTTGGTTCAGCATTCAGTGATTTGATAGCACTAAGAAACTAAGATTTTGCATGCCGGTGTCTGTGTGTGTGTGTTGAGGAGTGTCAAGTATGTGCTGAGGCACACAGTTATGTCAGGAGTGTCCATCAACCAGTCTCCACCTTATATTTTGAGTCAGGGTCTCTCACTGAGCTGGAAAGCTTGCTCCAGGGCTGCTCTTGTCTGTGCTTTCCAGTGCTGGGATTACAGGTACACACTGCTACACACAGCTCCTTGTGTGGGTGCTGGGGATCCAAACACAGGTCCTCATGCTTGCATGGCAAACTCCTTACTCAGTGAGCCACTGCCCCAGTTCTTGGGAGGGTTATAGTGTGGAACACTGCTGGCCCCAGATGAGGCTCTACTGGCCCCACAGGGCATGATCTCAGGGGACGGGGCTTCCTACAGTGCTGGCCCCTGGTGCTCACGGAAAAGCTTTCTTTTAATTTAAGTTTCCCTTTGACTTCCAGGGGTTTTTCCTTAGTCAGCTTGATTTGCAACCGCTCTTCAGTCTTTCTGGTGACTGATACCCATGCTCTATGGACTCCTAAGTGGTGCCAACATCCACTTGCACATACATCCCAGCAGTGCCCGTGACATTCAGTGTGGGGATGGTCTGCTCGCTGTCAGGGAACCTTCCCCCATTCTTTTTAGAAGTAGCCCAGACTAGAGGAATTGGGGCAAAATCCTCTCGCAGAGTCAGGCTAGTCGGTTTGTTGGTAGAATGAGGAAGAATGGACAAGCAGACTGCCAGGGAGGAGCTGGAGAACCAGAGAGAAGCATGTCCAGGCTGGCTAGGAGCTGGAGCACAGAATCGACATTCTGGATCCATTTCAATATTAATAGCTGTAGAATTTGGAGTCCAAGATTTGCCTAATGTACTTGCTTGTCTCAGGGATTTGTTCCAATATACTTGGGCTTTATATTCTTGATAACAGACCTGGCCACTGTTTTTCACTGACAACAGATAATCAAGTCAATTGCTTGGCAACATAGGTTGGATTTGCTAAAAACTGAGACCCCCTCAAGTACTTTCCAAAAGGAAAATAAACTCAAGAAAAAATGCCTGCTAATCATCCTTTTGCATTGGACCAAGGGAGTACTCCTTCCTAAGGAGCTACATCGAGGGCTCTGAGGTACTTACCGCTGACAATCGGGCTGACCGTCTCGTGGGCTACAAAAGAAGGGGGAAAAACTGGTGATTATAAACATCCAGGCTGGTTTTAAAAATTCATTCTTGATATATTCTACTCTGTTGAAAGAATAAATGCATGTGGCCCATCATCCTCTACAGGCTAGCATAATGAAACACACCAAGTCCACCGGATGTGCCAGAGAAAGCGCTGCACCAAGACACAGGGTCACCTGCCATCAAGCGGCTTCTCTAATTTAAGAGTGCTGTCAGAAGGGGGAAAGAGAGGGATCCTGGTTCCACTCTAACCCACAAGCAATTTTTTAGTGACAAACTGACTTCGGAACACTTAAGAAATGGTCTCTTTAAAATAGAACCCAAATCCTTAAGCTGTAAGAGACTTAATTACACAGAAACCAACATAGAAGTTTCCCACCTCTGCTACCCTGAGAAAAATTATGACTGCAAATCTTACACAGGTAAGAAAGGTATTTTTCTTTCAAACCTAGAATAAAATCAACACAATTATCTACTAAATACATGTTTCACTAATCGCTTAATTCCAAAAGTTTAGAAAATTAGACAGTGATCGAATTTAGGTTTTTTTTTCCCCCAGAAAATCTTTTAAGGATTGTACTAGTTAATAGCCAATGACACCCTAAAGAAAATACAAACTAACACAAGCATCCAGTACACAAAGTTGACACTCTTTGCTATACAGAAGAATCTGCTTCTCCTGGGTCACATGGGTAAAGGAATTTAACTTTTTATTTGTTTGTTTTTCAAGACAAGGTTTCTCTGTATTGCTTTGGACCCTGTCCTGGAACTTGCTCTGGCCTCAAAATCAGAGATCTGCCTGCCTCTGCTTCCGGAGTGCTGGGATTAAAGATGTGTGCCACCAACTCCCGGTAAGGCATTTTAAAACTAAAATTGGCTTCCCTGCAAGTTTTACTCCATATTTTCTGTTCATTTTACTTTTACTCTCTCCAGTAGAGCAGTTGATGCTACTACCTAACTCATCCAGAATATTTGCTGAATAAATGAACTCAAGCTTTCCCCTGACTCACACTGGTTTGAAAGACTCTCATTATGATAGCTAAATGCTTCCAAATAATTTTTCTTAAGTGGGTCAGAAGAAAATGGTCAGTGGGAACTTGTGCCATGACTGAGAAGAATTGTAGAAATTCCCAGCTCCGTGCTGAGGCCAGTGGGCCAGGTCAGAGTGGAAGAAATCGTTCTCCACGTGACCACATCTAAAACCTTTTCTGCTGGAAGCCACAAGCGGAGCTAAACTCATCTTTCTTTAAGATGAAGAAGGAAACCAAGGGCCAGAGCCCCCATGAATCGTTTTAACCTCGGGGTCTCAATGAACTATCAGAGGTGGATTTCAGTCCAGATAACAGGATATACATAGAAGAGGAAGCCAGGTTAGCTGCTGACGGGGACACAGTCACTACTCAGAATAGGACATAACTGTCAGCACATAGCCTGGGGCACAACTGTGGTCAGTAGAGAAGGACACTGGAGGGAATCTCCAAGATGCCTGCTAGGATTTTCTTGGGTGCATTTGTGACCAACAAGGCCCTAGGAGTCAGGATTCAAATCCTGCCATGCCTTTCTCAGGATGCTCAACCACATTGCTGAAGAAAGGACAACATGCCCACTTAAGCTGTGCAAAACACGTGTGTCCTATGCTTCAATGTGGTTTCTGAAGGTGGGAGAACAGAAGGGTACCCCCTGTTATTGTAGAGCACAGTCCTGAAGCTTCTGTGTGCCCTCAACCATATTCCCACCATCTAACAAGTACAACAGGCACTCTTCCTGTGGGGAAGAGTGACAGCCCCCTTGCTGAAGGGAAGCAGATAAACCTTATCCAAATCCCTTCCGCTTGGCTGTCAATCTACAAGCATTCCGCTGGTTTCTCTTCACCAGTGACTTCGTTCATCTGTATTCCCTAGCCCAAAGCACCATCTTTTTCTATTTCAGTATTGTTGATGCCTAGCAGGGACCCTGAGTAAGTGTTGAGGTGAATGGAAGAAGCAAGCTCCAGAAAGCCACATATAATTCACTTATGGGAAGGAGCCAAATGTGTTCACCATTATATATAACTGTCCATTTCCCAACCAATTACTGTTGGCAAAAATCTTCCTAAAGAGTTAAAAAATCATGTGAAGGATTTCCTAACTGCAAAACCCTGCTTCTCCATGGCAACATCTGAATACCCAGAATAGGCTTTCCGGAGGGACGGTCTCATCAGAGCTTGCTCTACAGGGCGGGACTCCAGCTGACTGATCCACAGACTTAATTTAGGTTCAGAATAAGTGTTCCAAAAGAAAGGCTTGGGAAATTGCTACAAGTCTCTCTCTAACCCAGCCAGACTCTAAAAAGTAGATGTCATACCATAAAATTATTTTATGACCTCCTACCTAAAATTTACCAGCTCTTCTGTGTCATAAAAAAAAATAAAAATAAAAAGGCTTTTTAAAACTTCCCTTCCAGTAATCACCATAAGGGATTTTTTTTTCAGTGCAGTGAAGGCTGAGGCTAACCTTTCACTCAGTCAGCAATACCGCTTACGCATGCAAGTGTGGATGCCTTCCTGGAAAGAAAGTTCATCAACTTCCACAGCCTTAACATCTATAAATGACTGAACTAAATTTATTGGATATGAAACAGACTAGACTGCTATTTGTTCCTTTTTGAAACATTGAAAGCATTTGAAATATTCATTTGAGGCTCAGCTTTGGTAAAACGGGGTTGGGGAGCCGTTAAGGAACTTCTCTTAATTTGTTGATAAGTGCAAAATCATAGAAAAAGTAGTTGAAAGAATGGCTCTCAGACAGGGATGGAGAGTTTTAGGATGCCAGATCACTGTGGTTTCTAGATACTGGAGACATCAGAGTTATTCAGTAAGCATTACTGATTGACAGACAGCCCCCATCTGAAAGACATGGGGTCCATGTCAACATCCTGGCTGCAAATGCAGCACACACATGCACTCTCACACAGTTCAAAGGGATGGGGAGGGAGGGAGGGAAGGAGGGAGGGAGAGAGAGAAACAGAGAGAGAGAGAGAGAGAGAGAGAGAGAGAGAGAGAGAGAGAAGTAAAATTACTAGACTGCTGATTTTTGCTTCAAACTTATTTTACAAGACACCCCTTTGCTCCTGGGCCTCAGCGTGTTCTTTTAAAGCGAGTTCTTTTAAAGCGTGTTCTTTTAAAAGTCAGGTTGCTTTTGATTCTTAAAAACAAACAAACGAGTTCAGTATAAGCGGCCTTCTTTTCAAAGCTGGGAGACAGAGAAAGACAGAACGACAGCCTTGTCTGGGCAATGGGTAAGATGAAGAAAAAGAATTGGCTCACTCAACTGAAGAACTGTACAAGAAGGTGGGTGGTGAATGAGGGTCAGGGATCAGGGCCTCAGGTGCTTTCCCTGACTCTGCTAATTACCAGTTGTGACATGCGGAGAAAATCGTATTATTTTTCTAAGAACCCTTCTCCTTGAGATGAAATGGGATCATTGCATCCGCCTGTCTGCTATCAGAAGCAGCACTGCTCTGACAGTCACTATTTCTTCTCCAGGCTCTCTCTCTCTTTTTATTATAGCAAATGTACTATTGCTTTACTCTCCTCCACACTAAATTGGAGGCCTTGGGGAGGCAAAGTTTTGCTTGTTTTTCACTGTGGGACCCACAGGGCCTGGAACAGCACTAGGAGAATTTATAGGTGTGCATATATCTTTGATAAGGAATGCTTGTGGGGCACAGGTATAGCATGGTGATAAAGCAGGTATATTCAAGGGGTTGGGTCCCATCTCCACCTCGGCAAGGAGGGGGGCGGGGTGGGGCGGGGAATGCTTCTTAGGCTTATTGTCCAGCTCACATACAGACTGGAAATGAAAAGGTTTGCAAACGCCGGTGAGTAATAATGATGGTACACTGTTTAGGTCATTTATTGTCCAATCTCCTGAAGCTCAGGGCTCTGTACAATGCTTTCCAAATACCACAGCCATCGTGGGAAACCTTCAAAAGGAAAGCCCCCTTTGTAATGGGTATCTGTTCATCCTTGGTGACATACAAAATGACATAACTGGAAAATTCAGTTTGAACTGAATTTCAATTCACTGGGGGAGGGGAGATCAATCGGTGCCCTTCTAGCAGCTTTTAACATTAGTCAACACTCAAGCTAACCTTTTACTTTGAAAGGACTGTGTTGATGTCTTGAAGGTACCTGATGAGTTTTAATGGCCTTGGCTTGCATGACAGGTTAAAAAAAAAAAAAAAAGCATTGTCTATAAAATACTTTTGTTAGGGATAATATATAACATAAAATGGAAAATAACAAACCAGAAAAACATAAAGCATGGGAATCCTTGGGCTAACACACCTAAGTGATATACACAAAACTCATGCTTATCTTTTATGTGTATCTCAGCCAGCAAGATCTGCTTCTGGCACAGAGGGACCGGGAAGGCAGTCTGTAGTCAAGCGTCTCCGCTGAGCAATGGTTTGAAGGCTTTCTGATTGATCAAGTTAAATGTCAACCCCCAGAGAGAAAACCAAATGTGTATGGTACCTAAATCCAAAAACACTGAGGTTACACTTCACCAACTGTTCTAAAAACTATGTTTTGCCATTTTCTATGTGTTTATAATTTTTTTTTTTTGGTAACTCAGGCATGTATGTGGTGACTTGACTGTGGATTTCTGTTTCATGATTATCTCCAGCAGCTCATTGTTGGTACATGGATGATAAGGGCAGGCGGTTTTGCTTTTACATATGTCTTTACAGCTTCTGGTAAAGATTTCCTCCTTGGCAGAATGAGTTTCCACGTACAAAGCTTATGTGGGGCTTTGGATATCACGACAAATTCCTCTGAATTATTAACCATAATGTGAATCACCCCATAAAAGGGTCTGTAACTGGATATTGTTTGCGCTCCCTTGTGACCCCTTTCAGTTTATAAGTTCAAGTGTAAGAGCTGAAGTTTTCCACACACTGGAAACGTTTATCCAAAAGGGAACAGCTGTCATCACAGATACATCTCACTTCTGACTTTTGAAGACATCTCCTTCAGTATCCCCATCAAGAATGAGATATAAGCATATCTTCCAAGTTCTTAACCCCTCTCCAGGCTTCTGTACTTTAACACAGAGCCTCTTTGAGTCGCACGCTAATTAGTTATCTGAATAACTTAAGAATTTTCCTAATTAAAAAAGAAGCTTCAATATTTTGCTATATTATGAATCTTTTCATAGTTTTGTCTTTAGAGATAAATCCTCTTAGGTAAATACTCAGACTCAAAAAAGGAATTCATAATTCACTCATTGGAGCAGAAAATTTATGAAATCAACAACCTTTCATTTTCTTGCTATGAAAAGCCGGCTCTGTTTTCCTTGATGAATTTACCTATTATCACTGCCCAGAAGGAATTCTCAATACCCACTTTGACAGACAGCAGGACCAACAGGCAGAAACACAAACAATGTCAGAAAATACCTCATCAACGTGTTCAATGAAATATGCTCAGGCCAAGTGGAACTACATGAAATCTTTGGCTTTTAGCTTCAGCAGGCTTGTTTGCAATGGCATTCCTTCACGTGCAGACAACATGAAACATTTCAATAGTAAAACCTATGTAGGCATCTCAAAGGTATGCTTACCTCCTGTTTGGTTAGTTTGGTTCCATCTTTGCCCTCTGTATTCTCTGGAGACTAGAAAGAAAAAAACATTTGAGTGAACTGTATTTAAGTTTGAAATCACATAAAAAATGATTGGAACATACATGGGTAATAGGACTCCTATTTTCAGGGGAAAATGCATTTATTAAGTATATATTTAAAGAGTGTGTAGTGTGTGTGTGTGTGTGTGTGTGTGTGTGTGTGTTACACCCTTGGGTGCGTATATGGACGTCAGAGGTCAACAGTGGATGTCTTTCACATTATTTTTTTAAGACAGGGTCCCTCATTGAACTCAGAGCAAGTTGGTTTGGCCAGGGTGACTACCCAGTAAGCTTCTGGAATTTCTTACCTCTAACGCCCCCCCCCCCCCAGAGCTGGGAATACAGATACATGCTGTAGTGCCTGGCCTTATATAGGTGTTGGTGATCCAAACTCAAGGTTTCATATTTTCACAGCAAACATTATATCCTCTTACCTAGCCCCAAGGTGTATATTTTACACACATGCACATGTACACATGCATGCATCCATGCGTGCGCGCACACACACACACACACACACACACACACACACACACACACACACACACAAACCAGGGAGGTGACAGAGGGCAATATAAAGGGAAAGAGGCAGGGTAATAAATAACACCAAAGACATTTATAAAAGCTACAAGGAAACATTATTTTACATCTACTTTAAAATGCAGCTATTATACAAGTGTATGCATACACACATTAACACACTAAAGTGACATCGCTTGAGGCAATAAGATTTCAATCAAAAGTCACAGACTATTGAGTGAAAGTCCCAGTTCCAGGCATGAAAAACCTCCCTTTGAATTATTAGAAGAGTTCAAGAGACTCCCAAAACAATACAGGCTATTACCAATGCTCTCGATTACACTCCAGAACTTGAAGGCAAGATCTTATTGCTGAAGACACAACATAGCTCTGGCACAGGACTGGAAGGAATCCTTCTGGAAGTGACCTGAAAGCTTCCTCCCTGAGGGATGGCTCTTATAGTGTCTGGTGGTGCTAAGTAGGCTGTTAAGGGAGAAAAACAATTATAGTCCTACCCAGCTACGACACCTAGGAACCACAACATTGCAATGACTAGCATGGCAAGATATCCATAAAGGTGCAATAGTGGCATACATACATATCTTGGTAGCAACCAATGGTTGCCTATTTGGACTTAAGCCCTATTCAACAGGAGGGAAACCATGCCTGGTACTGGAAACCTAGCCAACTTTCCATGGCTAGCAAGGTTATGGACTGTATAGGAGAACCTACTGCCACTTTCATAAGTTAGTATTGCTTCTAACCGTATTCTAAATACTTATCCTTTTACCTAGATAGCGTTGTTCTGAGCCCTCATCAAAGCAGTGGTTTTTGCAGCAGATGGAGACCATTCTAAAAAGCCACAACTGGTCAAAATGCAGAAAATGACTGACTGCAGAGTGCCCAACCCAACTGATACATCTACAACCTCTATGCCTACACTTCAGGGAAGACTGTGGAAGAGAAGGCAAAAAGACCATAAGAGCCTGAGCACAAGGGTGTCTGTTATGCAATAGTGTCTACATATGACAAGGAAGCTGTACCTTTGGAATCTCAACAACACAGTTGCCTAAACAAGGCCAGCACAATGATAACACCAGTCAACAGGTCAACACAGATGGAAGAGATCACACAAAGCCCTGCACACCCCGAGATGAAAAGCTATAGGCAATTAATGACTGCCAAGAGTTGGAGAAAGTACACAAACAGGCTTAGTGAGATGGCTCAGGGGGTGAAAAACACTTGTCATTCAATCTAACAATCTGAGTTAGATTCTCTGAGCCTATAGTGAAGAGAGAACCAAGCCTTGAAGGTGGCCCTCTCACCTCCATGCAATCACCATGACACACGTATGTGCGAATGCACACAAGCATACACATACATGCGCACATAATACTTGAATACACACACAAATAATAAAAATTAAAGACCCCCCCCCACAAAAATAGCAAACAGGTTTGGCTTAGCAGCATGCCTCATCTGATAAAACAAGAACAAAATTGACAGGATCATAAAACTGCCACTTAGTGGGGCTGGTAACACTGTAAATTAATATCAGCTTCTCAAAGAACAACCTGGAAAAAGCTGAGAGATAACAAGGTGATGATCCAGTAATGCTTTGTAAGGAAAAAAAATGTATTTCTATTATATCTAATACGGCATAGCTAGAAATAATCTGCATGTTCAATAAATAGCTGAGAGCTGTTTAAACTATGTAACTAAGGCTAGGGAGGTGACTTGGTGGTTAACAGCACTTGCTGCTATTCCAAATGACCTACATTCAGTTTCCAGCACCCATATTGGGTGTATCTGAGCCATCTGTCATCCTGTTCTATGGAATCCAGCGCCCTCTCCTGGCATCCATAGGTACATGCACACATGTGCATAAATACTCATTCAAGACATATAAATAAATAATAAAACAAATACAAAATTAACTATAACTATTAATACAGTGAGATTAAAATAGGTTTAAAATAAAAGAATAAAGATCTACATAATGTAATGATAAAAATTTTAAAATTAGGTAATAAAATAATGAGAAAAATATAGGAACTGCATAGGAGTCTTTGGGGAAAACAAAACATTTCGAGGCAAAGGTCACGGGAATCTGCTCTGCCCCCTGATCAGTTACATGTGGTCACTAGTTCTCATTTTCTAGCAGCTCCCTCGCCTACAGGGTTCCAGCCCTTTTCCCATAGTTGACTAATTGTTCTCTCCTCCAAACAGAACCTGGCCTATCCTGAAGGGAGATTCCCATTCTCTTTTCTGTTCTCTGTTCTTGCACAGGAACACCAGCTTCACAGCCCTTGTTCTGCATCCCTTAGCTGAGTTCTAGACAGTATCATCTCAGCAAGTCTGAGCACATGGCAGTTCCGAAAGGGGTCCTGGGCCTCCTGATTCCCTAGGTTCAAACACAATGCTTTCATCCACCCACATTTTCTGATCGCCAGGGCACCCTGTAGCTATCAATCAAGGATGCCTCTACTTGTAACAGACAGATAGCTAAGAAGGCATTATGCTGGTATTCTATGAATGTAGATTGTATACAAACATATCCTGGTTAGTCGCAGGTAAAATAAAAAGAGGAAACCTCAGTTGAGAAAATGCTCCTGCCAGACTATCCTATGTGTAAGCCTGTGGAGTATTTTTTCGATTAATTAGTTTAATGATTGATATGGGACCCACCCCACTTCGGGCAGTGCCAACCAGGGGAACTGGTCCAGAGTTGTATAACAAGGCAGGCTGAGCAAGCCCCGTGGAGGAATCCAGAAACCAGCGTCCTTCCATGGCTTCTCCCTGCCTTCAGGTTCCCACCCTGACCTGGACTTCTCTCAGTGAGGGGGTGATCTGAAAGCTCTAGGGTAAAATAAACCTTTGCCTCCCCAGCTTACTTTTGGTCATAGTGCTTATCACAGCAGCAGAAACCCTGACTGATAATATATATTCTTATAAGCTTAGTGTTAATAACATTATTTCCAGTGTTATATGCCAACGATTAGTAGCAGGCAATATTATCAAGACATCAATCTTTAAACACGGATCTAATGATGTTTACATTAGATGGAACAAAAGACACTGCATTCAAAAGACATGAAGAATGAAAATGTTAATGCTTTCTGATGAGTAAACTGTATGATTATAGATGTGACAGAGCACATCCAGATAAGGCTAGTTGCTTTGGCAGTCTCTCTACAGGGGTTTGTATTATCAAGCTCAGACATATTTCCAGTTAGGAGCACCTGATGTTTTCTCTGGGGTCAACATGCTTCAGTGGCCTGAATACAAGCTGTGGGCTCAAAACTCTGCCTTGAATCCTGGCTCCAAGACCTGTGCCCAGCAACTTGGTCAGAGGCTCAATCTCTACATCAATGGGTGATTTAACAATGACATCTAACTTAAAGGGTCATACTTACTATTTCTTAGGCAGAGGTTAGAGAAAGCAGCTCAGGAACTCAATTGCTATGAAGGCATTATACATAGAAGATGTTATACAATAGAAGGTGCAGGTGATCTTAAAGATCTTAAATGTCAATGTACATCCAATGGAGCCTTGAAGTCACATACTTTTCCTTTATGCAGATTCTCTGCGACTGGCCATCATCCTGTTGCTCACAATGATCAGGTGCACTATTTTGGGAAGATCATCATTACTGCATGTCTTCTTGCATGCCTCAGCACTGTAACGTGCTGCCAAGCTAGATCAGGAAGGAGGAAGGTATACTGTGAAGGAATCAAAGTAGATTGCACCAGGGGATTATGTGAAATAAGGACAAAGAAAGGAGGAGATGGAGGACTAGAAACTTATTCAGATGACTTCTAGTGGGTGCAGGGCGCGGAGCATTTCACAGGCTACAAGGAATGGCAAGCAAATAGGTCCTTGCCTCATACTTACAAGAAGCTGGTGAGAACTAAGAACACCCAAGAGTATGAGAACCACTGGCAAACAAAGTCCTCATGTGGGCTGGAGAGATGGCTCAGTGGGTAAGAGCACCCGGCTGCTCTTCCAAAGGTCCTGAGTTAAATTCCCAGCCACCCTCAACCCCCCTGAGGGCTCACAGCCATCCATAATTCGATCCGGTGCCTTCTGCCTGCAGGCAGAACACTGTGTCCATAATAAATAAATAAATCTTAAAAACAAACAAACACATCTAAAAAACAAAACAAAAAACAAACAAAACAAAAAAACCCCAAAAACAAAAACAAAAAAAAAAACAAAAATAAAAACAACAACAACAACAAAAAAAGACGAGGCTCCTTCACCTCCCAGCTGCCAAGAACTAGCAAGGAAGGTTGGAGATATGAGAGGTCAACCGTGGGTCTGACAGGTCAAGCACCAACTGGGAGTTCAGTCAGCAGGTACTGGATCCAGTGACTGGATTAGGACACTGACTCGTCAGAAAGCACAGTACTACTTCAAGGGAGCATGGCTCATCTAAAGCAATCTTAAAAGATCAGGGACCTTTGGTAGGA